CAGCCCGGATACCCACCCAATACGATCTGACCCGGAATCACTCTGGGTATCGTCTCCTTCAAGTTTCAACCGTCCGGTCAGTTCACAGTCGCCTGAGATCGCTGACGGTGGCCGTAATTGTGAGAAGGTGTATGTAGCTGTTGGCAAGTCTGTGGACAAAGCTATGGGCTTGCTTAAATGGAGCTTTACGTGTCTTAAGTAAAACTCTCTCCCTCTCTCTCTCTCTCTCTTTCTCTCCCTCTCTCTGTCTGAATATATAAGTATATGAGTGAGCATATATGTACTGATCATTCTTTGTTACCGGGTCTGTTTTTTTCTTCAATTTTTTCCTCAGCTTTAATGGGTTTGTTTAAGTTGTTACGCAAAGTAGAATGTAGGTCAGATTCTTGTAAATACCTTAGAGATTTTTGAATAATTCGTTTCCAAATTTAAATCTTTTTGTTTGCGGAGTAAAGAACAATCACGCAGCTTGTTTTTTTTTTTTTTTTTTTTCAGATTTCAATGGTATAGAATGGGTGTTATATGTGCTTTATATTACTTTTAGTAAGAATACAAATTTATTATAGAATTGAAAATGTGCATATATTATTGACCAAAGATCCCAGGTTTGCTTATTACTAAATTCTAGATACTAAGAATATATGCGAATAGAACGAGAATAGAATAAGGTCTAACTAAATATAACCCAAGATACTTTCATCATTGGTTCCTCCTTGCAGTAGGGAAACTGCAGGCAAGTCGAGAAAATACCCAAGTTCTGTCTGCATTTAGAAGGGAAGAGAAGGAACAGATGAGTAAACTTTTAGATAACTACTTGAGTACTTGCTGTAGAACAATTGTACCTTTTTGCTCTATAGATGTTAATAATACGTAGTTACATGGATATTGTCGAGTTTTTTTTCTGGATTATGAAATTGGACTTTTGTTGATGAAAATTGGCATTTGGGTGATTATCTTATTTTTGCACAGTTCTTTAGCAATTGCAGTTAAAATAGTTTTTTTTTTCCTGCATATTCTTCCAAGTGTTAGTTAATATATCTTAAAAAGAAAACTGGTTAATGATTGAAAACTTGAAGAAACACCTATTTCTGTTCGTTGAAGGTTCGAGTAGGCTGAATCTACAGATATGAGAATCCTTCTCTAAAAAGTTTCGTCTTTGTTGAGCCAATAAGTTAATTAAATGTGTTCCAGAAGATTTTTAGCCATGTTAACTATTAAGTTGATACACTTCCCTTTCCTTTTCAAGTGAATTTTTCTCATCTAATATGTTTGCTTCTTTCCAAATGGCAATCAATAATCATGGGGAAATACGCATGATATGAAGTTAAATAAATTTGGGTTTGAACGAATCATAATGCTTTTGGAATGTGGTCTATGACATTTACCATGAATAAGACTTCAGTGAAAAAGGAGAAGAAGAATCAATATTCTTCAGGCTTTTATAGTTCTCTCGTGCTATTTGTTTTTCGTAAAATAACTGCATGTCCATTGGTTAAAAATGGGTAGTAGATTGTCTCTTTTTTAAGATCCTCCTATCAAGTGCACCTTATGGAAGGTAGTTATCTACTTTTCTTGCAGGTTAAAGGAAGTATGCCCACGACTGAGGCTGATCAAGTTCATGAAGGGATCATTGAGATGGTGAAGAGACATGGCATCAGGAAGCTTGTTATGGGTACCAAACTAGAGAGGTAAGCGACTCCTTATGATTTCAGCCATTTTCAGCTCAAGATCAAATTATTAGTAACATCTAGCTATGCTTCAGCTAGCCTTTTGTTCTACTGAAACATGTTTTTTTTTCTCTTGCAAGACTCCTTTATATACTTGATGCTGCAGCAAAAATAAAATTTTATCTAAATAAAAATCCATTATCTATCTGCTTCTTTTTTTCCTCTTTGTTATAGATTGGCTTGTGTAGTCAGAACTAAGCTGAAAAAAGTTCTTTTTCTTCTCCCTTTCCTTCTTCTACTTTTTCCACGTTACTCTAATGGTTTATACAGTTATATGAAGGTGAAAAAAAGAGCTCCATCAAATCAAATTATGCAGCCAAATGTGCACCCAGATTCTATGAAATCTAGATTGTCAACAGAAGAAAGCATGTCTGAAGGTCCTAGGTTTCATAAAATGGAAGTTTCAACTCCAGCAATTTTCAGGAGTAGGTCACTGCAAAATAGAAAAGTAGTTTATTACTCCGCCCAGAAAATTTTCATTCCAGATCTGCAAGAACTGTAGTTTGTGCAGGAACAACCAATCAGGTTCCGGATGAAGAAGTTGAGGGGAAAGTGCTTTTAGCACCTGGTTTATCTAATGCAGGCAATACATGTTTTCCCTATCATCAGAGCTTACTTAGTGCAAGGATTACTACCACAGACCCAGCATATACTATTGCTGAGAGAAGGGTATATTCAGATTATGATACAAAGGCCGAGGGAGAATGTTTCTATATTCAACTTGAAGAAGCAACGCTAGCAGTTGAGATGTTAAAGAATGAAGCATTTGCAGAGCAATTGAAGTGCAAGAAATTGGAAAATGAAGCTACTGAAGCTATCAGGAAGTTTACCATGAATTCAATGCTCCAACTTCATTTGGGGAATCTAAATTGTAGATTTTGTTCCCTACAGGCAAGAACAGAAAATAAATCATTGGCAATCGAACAATCAAGTTCAGCTTAATGGACAAAATGGTAGCTTTTCTGTTTCCCATAAAAACTAATCAGTTAGGAAAAAGGCTACTTTGCATATCCAATAATTTTAAGAACTATGATTCTTGATTTCCTTCAGGCCCAAAGGTTTTGAATCTGCCCATGCTTGTGAAGTTAAACTCAGAAAGGAAGCTGAGGATGCACTTGGAACTACAATCCGGGAACTAAAGACGCTCTTGAAAGAAAGAGAAAAAAAGTAGGGTAGTTACAAAAGACCATGATAAATGTTGCTGTTCTCGATAGTCGGGCAAAGGAAGCAACCTATAGTTGTTATGAAGTTGCTGGAGAACTAAACTCATACAGACATCCATTGCTACTCTCCAAGGAAAGCAGAGGGTGTAGCAGCAAAAATTGGAAGCTGTGTGCTGGTTAGAGCATTGGAGAAATCAGGGGCCAGTTGGAGCTGCAAAGATTTGCCAGAATTAGCAGAATTTTCACTGACAGATATGCAAACCGCAAGGTGCAATGTTTTTGGAGAGCTTTTGAATAGGTCGGGGGGATACAATTTGTGTTCACAAAGAGGAAGTGTTGGGTAGAACTGTGCTATAGAAGACAATCAGAGTTTCAATAAGAGGTTGGGTACTGTCTCACTCAACTCATGCACACACAACAAAGAATAAGATAATGATTAAGAAATCTAGGTCCTGATAAAGGAAAGAAAAACTAATGGTTTTTTGTCAATGCCTATTCAATAAGTACAACAGTGCAATTCTATATCTTTTACATTGGTATATTGCTCAAAATGGCTAATGTTTCCTGTAGGAAAGCATAAATTTTTGCATGTGGTTATGTGTTAAAACGTTATTTATCCTATAAAAGAAGCATGGTAATTTTGCTTTGCACCCAAGTTAATCTTCATTCCCATGTAGAGGATCAAATTCTTAGCAAACTGCAACATCCACATCTGGAAACTTTGATTGGTGCATGCCCTGAAGTCTGTCACATATTACTTGCCAATGAACAGTTCCTGAATCTCTAGTGCCCTTTGCTTCCTGGACTCTACCAAACCTGAAGAGATTGTTTATGGTGATTTGAAACCTCAAAATATCCTGCTTGATTCTGAACTTCACTGCAAGATATGTGATTTGGTACCAGCAGACTTGTAACAGAGGATACCCTTTACTGTGCAAGTTTCTGCAGAAGTAGTGAGCGAAAGTGTACTTTTCTATACACCGATCCTGGGTTTCATAGAATTGGTGTGCTGACACTCAAGTCTAATATTTACTCCTTCAGGCTAATCATTTTACAGCTAGTTATCGAAAGGTTTTGGATAAAATAAGCCAAACCAAAATGTATAAAAATGGTAATTTTATAACCGAATGAACAGATTGATCGAAGGTTTGTGTGATTTTTTATTAAAGTTAAGGCCTTTTATGTGCTGCCATTTCCATTAAGCTTTACTCTATCGTTGAGTTGACAGAAAACTTAAGGTTAATTTGCTTTCAGGAAATAATGCATGATCCTCGGGTTGCAGCAGAAGATGGGTTCACTTATGGAGAAGAAGCTTTACGTGATTGGTTGGCAAAATGGCTTTGAGACCACACCCATGACCAACTTGAAACTGAGCAATTTGCATCTTACTCCTAACAATGCACCAAGGCTTGCAATTCAAGACTTGCTTTGCAGATCCTGAACCCAAATTCCCCAGCCACTTTTTGTATGTATGTAATTTTATAATACAAATAATTTATTAGAATTTTTCTTGTCAACTCAAGCTTTTGGATTAATCAATATGATAACTTATTGAAAACGCAGTTCTTGTAATTCCCATGTACATAATTGAATTAAATGTTATCAATTATGCAACAACAGGGGTTTTAATTTATGAGTTATTGAGCCAGTTCCCAGTTTATGGTTTCTTGTGAGTGGCGGAAAAAAACTTGGTGATTGCCAAAATCAGAATTTAATTGCTTATCATGGATGTTCATTTAGACTCATTTCATAAAGAAAATCCCTCTAATTTAATATTTAATGTGTTGGAAAATGCCTTTATTTCATACAATAAAGTAATGCGCAATAGACAATCTCTTTGCTCTTTTATAGGGGCCATGAGCAATATCCTTTAACTGTATTCACCATAGAACATTCTCAGTTCAGATAAGTTCATAGAAGCATGACTAGAGAAAGAAGCAGATTTCTTTTGCAAAAATTATCTACAAGACAACATTGTCAGAGAAAAAAAAACACTTGGCTGCTAAAAATATGCAGAAAATTTCAACTTATTCATTGTTTGTCTAATCATCCTTGCAGGAGTAACCCACCTCTTGCTGCTGGGACCAATGAAAAGGTGATCTGATTCTCGGCATCACTGAAAGGATGATCATCTTCCATGGAAGTTCCAATCCTGTGCTCATCATCATTCTTGCTGCTCAAAAGTGGATTCGATTCACCAGTTCCGCTCCATTTATGCAACTCTTGCTTGTTTCGAGCCATGTCCATGTTCTCATTTGTTTCAGGTCTCTCTTGCCAGTAGTTCAGGTTCTCATCTCTCTTGCTAGGCTCACGATTATTGTGTTCGGATCTTTGAGTCTTTCCTTTGATCAAGTCTAGTTCATCCAAGGACAAGAGCTGGTTTTCCTGATGGTCATTGTTAATGAAATCTGAATTACTTCTTCCATAGATTTCATGCGATGATTCCTGCAGAATTCCTCCTCCTGAAGATCTCTGGCAGAAGCTCCCAAACCCCTTAATTCCTCGTGTAAGCTTTCGAGCTCGGTCTCTCTCTTCCTTGAGTACAGGTCCTTTCTGCAGCAGCTTTAACACCCACTCTGATTTTCTTCTAACAGCTAGTCCCCAATTGAATCTGCATTCATCATTTTCTTTTCTTTTAACATTTACACTGTGCTCAGTTCATTCTATTATTATTTTATTCTAAATTTAATTATTATGCAAATATTCAAGATATTTTCAAAGAATGCTCATTATTTCAATTGATGACAAGTTAAAAAACTAATACAAACCCTTTCTCATCTATATGTTGGAAGCTTCCAATCTCAGTGATAATACCAATATCACTCTGAAACTCTTCTGCTACACTCTCCGGTCCATGAGTCAGTAAGTGCTCAAGTACTACGACAGAACTGTAAGCCACCCTCCAGTTCTTCCTCTCAAATTTTGCCAATCTGTTTTTATATTTTTACATTGAAACAATGAAAAATTTGACAAACCCAAATGAGATCATGATGATGAGTGTGAAGATCACAGACCTCTTATGCAGAATCTCCACAATTCTCCAATAATCATCTAATTCAAAAGCAGCTCTTGAAATTGATCCTAGGGTTCTTGTGTCTGGTGCCCATGAATTCCCATTTGTTGCTTCCTCAGTCATTCTTCAACCATTTTAAACACAACCCAGAAAAAGAAAAACAAGATCAAAACACAAAAGACTGAAGAGATTTACATAAACAGAAACATAACAAATCTCTCTGAGTAAAGAAAAAAACAAGCACTTTATAAGATTTAACTCACAATTCAGCAGGGGTTACATCAGTCAACGCCAAACGCGCAGTTCTGATCTTCTCTTTGAGAAAAAACGAAGCTTGCCTCTTGAATTCATGGAACAGAGGAGAACCCATGTTGGAACTGCTACTGGTATTGTTCATGGTTGACATTTTTTTTGAAGAAGAAAAAAGGCGAGATCAATCAAGACTGTTCTTTTCTTCTTCTTTTACATTAGAGGTGATAGAAACAGAGGTAATCCAAACAGCCCAACCAAACCATTTAGTAATTTTCCAACACCTGTTGTAGAAAGTGGGGCTCTGCATATGTAACAAAGAAGATTAGGAGAAGAAAAATGATGACAGAATCCATAAATTAGTGGGAGAAGGTTTCAAAGTTTTCCTTTTTTAAAAAGAAAAAAACATTGGATCTTAAATCATAAATGAATTGTGGGTTTTGGGTGGAATTTTCTAGTTTGGAAGTCTGACGAACAGAGAGAGTATTTTTCTTTTGTGTCTTTGTAATTATTAAGTTTATTTATATTTTATCAACGTGTGAAGGTGTAAAGTCAACACCTTTGTTCAATTGAAAGCTGCCGATATGTTTGGTTTGAATTTGAAATTTCTGTATATCGGAGTAGGGTAACCAATTAAGATTTTTTTTTTAAATTAAAATAAAATAATTTTTTTTCATTAAATTAGGATTAAGTTAAATATTTTAGTTAAAGAAATATGAACTCTTATCTTAAATATATATATATATTTTACTTTAATTTTATTTTAAAAAATATTTTTCAAAATTAAAAAATTGACACATTGCAATTTTCAGCATTCATTACTTGAGCAATAAATTTCTTTCAAAAAAAAATCCAAAAGTTTCATAACATTTTAAAAATTTTGTACTTGCAATATATTATTAACTAAAATAAAAGGATAGCAAATTGATTATTGATTCATACCTATCTGTACAAACTTTCCAAGAAATGCAATTTATGATTTTATATGTATGTATACATGTATATAATAAGTTACATAGATATCCACAGTTACAAAAAAAAAAAAAAATTGAAGAGAAAAATTAACAGTTTATATGTCATAATTCATATTTACTTTTCCTCATACGACAATACGATACATGTCGTACAAGATTTTTCAGAAACTCATTTTCCTATAAAGATTTGATATAATTAAATTCATCCACTTTGCAATTCTAGTGATAATTATATATTTAAGTACTTAATAAATTAAGTTTATACTGTGATTATCTGAATTCAATTTTTGTAATCAAATTAATGAAGTAAAATTCTAAATATATATATATATATAATATATAAATTTGAACTCTCTAATGCAAAATTTGACATAAAAATATTATAATTGTTATCAAAGAATTAGTAATTTTATTTAAAAAATCTAACAACAATGATTTAATCATCACAAAAAATTAAATGATTTTAAATTGTAATTATGCGAAATTATAAGGTAAAACTGTAGTTTTAACTGAAATAATAAAGAAATAAAAGGTAATAGAAGATTGGTAATATCGCCATTGTAACATATCTGTCGTTTTTTCGCAAATTATTAGAGTTGCCGGCGGTGATGGATCTCCATATATATATATATATATATATAATCTTAAATTAGCATATCAAAAGTTATATTATATATATATATATATATATATATATTAAACTAACTGTCACTTAAGTTAAATATATAATATAAGGTTAAAAAAATGAGCTATCCTGCCTAACTAGAGAATTTTATGATAATAATTAGTCAGTGAGATAATTCCAAGTCAAATATATAATACAAGGTTGAATTTAAATACTTTAATAAGTTGAGATTTCACTGAAAATTGTTGGCCATGGAATTTTAAACTAAGTTTTATGATAATTACTATTATTATTAAGTTAGGTGCTAATCCTATTTTAGTAATTTAATTATTCTAGGTATAAATTTGACTGATTTTCTAACATATCTTGCTAAATTAGCTAATTTAGGTAGAAAATCGACTTGGGCATATCTTTAGTTTAAGTATAATACAACAATTAATATGCAAAAACTGGTTTAATCTATAAAAAAAAGAACCCAAAATATATATATATATATATGATTATCTCAATATGTATATACATGATTAACTTGGTAACAACTTTATATAGGCCAATTCCAATTCAAGCTCGAACCCCATTTTAGACTCATTAGGCTTAGTTTGATTTATTAGCATTATGTTTATAAATATTGGACATAACCCAAAGAATAAAAAGGCCCATTGAGTTAAAAAAAAAAATAGGATGTGGGCTAATCCAAGTATTTGTTGATTTATTTTAATCAATATAATTTGTTTGAGATTTGAGTAAATTTTTGTATTTATTTATAGTTTTAAGTATAAGTATAACACTAACTATTTTTATTTAAAAAATAATAATTTTGTTATTGGGTGACAAATATATTTATCAATTAAATTTGTTTTTTTTAATAAAACAATATAGTTTAATACGTTTTAAGTAATTAAGAACATAATATAATTACATTTGAGAAAATATTAGAAGAATTATAGCTTATTCACAGTGTATTTGGTTAATTATTTGATATTAGTTTCAGAATATGCTCGCTCATGAACTGAATATAGAGTTTACTTGAAATTAAAATTATATTGAATTTTATAAAATTAATATTTGATGAGCTTCTTCATGTTTGAAAACTGAAAACCAGAGCCTGGCTGGCTAACGTGGATTCATTTAAGTGCTGAAACAAATGCATCCAACAGAAAGTCAGAGTTGCATCAATTGGGCAGCCAGCCAACCAAAGGTACTGTTTTCTCTCCAACCAAACAAGGAAATTTTCCCGAGAAAAGCAACAAAATTTTGGCAGACCATCCAGAAAATTAATGGCAGAATCAACAGGTTTTTATTACTGATGAGTCTCGTAGCACTCACCTAACCCCCTATCTGCATTTACTCTCAATACTAAAGTTGTTAGTAGTTAGCAGGAGATTTTATGATCATATCATGGCAACCATGGATCACCCTTCTTCCCTTCATCCTACCGCTCTCGCTCTGCCACGTGGCGAGGAAAATTACTTCTACTGCTGTTGATGTTTGAAGCTTTATGATCATGTCTGATGGAGAATTCTGCATTATGCTGATCACATGCAGCAGGACAAAACATCAAGTTCTTACATGGGTTCCTCTGCTTTTTCCCAGTTCAATTATGAGTCATCATTAGGTTTAATTCTACTGTTTATTTTTTAGATATTTTATTTATAGAGTTCACATCTTTGTTATTCCATGAGGTTTTGATGCATTGAGATTACTGGTTGAGAGAGAAAAAAAAGGTTTTGTATTTTTAAATTATTCAGAATGAATCTAAACTTCTGCACTCCGAACAGTAGATCATGTACACCGATCATATGCACAATAAGATAAGAATTTTTTCGGAGTTTCAGAATAATTTTCTCATATCCCCTTTTGTGTTGTTTAAAGTTTTAAGGAAGAAGATAAGATTAATATATAAGGCATGGCATAAAAGGACTATGAACTGGGAATTTAGGTTTTATTATATGCAAGGAGTAAACACGTAAAGAAGGTACATGTTGCCTAAAGAACTGGCAAAGCCATCTATGATATTCTCTTTTGTGATTCTAGGGCTTTTTAGGAACCAATCACACCTCCTGAAAATGAAAATCTGAGAATGCCCACAAAATTTAAGGCAGAACCCAGATATTCTCATGCTGCAAAATATTGCAGAAACCAATTTTTTTATGATAAGAAATGCTCCAAATAAGATGCAGATTCTGATTGCCAACCCCACATATGCAGTGAAGAAGAAGAAGAAGAAGAAACAGATACAGATAGAGAAAAGTGATAAAGATGATAAAGAGGAACAAAAAGCTGTTGTCTGTTTTTCAAAAAAAGAAGGAATTTTATTTTATTTATTAGTAGCAAAATTACAATTTCTCTATGATAGTTTTGTAATCAACATGAACCAGCTTTTATAACGTTTATTTACAACCCACTCACCAACCAGTTACATTGCACAATTAAGTTCCTCAGAACCCTTCCACGGCGCCCAATTGGTATGTTACAGAGGTGAACAGGACAAAAAACGGCGATGAGAAAATGCCTTACTCATTTTTTTTTTCTTTTTGCGGATGTCTCTATATCTTCTATCTGTTGTTTTTTTTTCTCTACTTATACACATGATCTCCATATCCTTCCCTCTAATGAGATGACAATGATGGAAACATCATCGTGGTAACGCCGACGATCCCCTTGTGGTATTTCAAGCAAATCATGAAATTCCATACCTACCATTACCCAGAACACAAATTCATAAAATTTACTTTAGTTTCTTATGCAAGCAGAAAGAATCATGTTTGTAAAAAAGAAACTGTTATAAAGAGAATTGAATTATACCAGCTTTCTTAGCAGCACGAAACAGCAGTTCCTCAACCAGATGTTGAGCAGGGTCTCCTTCGGGTTGCAGTGCGATGAAAAGTTCAACTTCGGAGACAGCTTCTTCGTTGGTGAAGTACTGGTAGAGACCATCAGAGGATAATATCAAAAACCGATCTTTTGGGCCTAATTTATGGTGGTAGAGGGAGGGCAAGCAAGAGATGTATGGAGAGGTCCCTTTGTAATCAATCCTGAACACCTCTAGAAGTGCATTATTCCATTTAGGCTGCAAAAAGTAAAAATGAAAATCAGATGAAAGCACTGGCTTTTGAATGGAACTTTCGGACAATAATCAGATATATATATATATATATATATATTTCTTTCCCAAAAGCAAACACAAAGGTAGCACTTGCAAAAGAGTTCCATGGTCCACCTACTACATCTCAAAAGACAAAATTTTGTTGAGCATACATTTTCACATCATAGCAATTTGATTCGCAACATATAATTTGAAGGTGCTTATCAGGAAAATGCTACTATATCTCATCTTTTTTTCGAAATAAATCTACTATATCTCATCAAGTAAGAAAAACATCAGTTTCTTTCTATGTAACTTTCTGTGGGGAAACTAAATCAATAAACCAGAATCTTCAACTTTACTAATTAGTGAAGTTTCTCATCATGAATCCTTTTTTTTTTTCAATTGAAAACTTTTACTGGCAAAGACAAACAAGAACAACTGTCTCATTAGCCCTCCTGAATTAATCATCTTACTTTCTTCTTTACCGGCATGTGAGTTCTCAGACATCATACTACTGATATTAGCATTATAACAGCCAAGCTTTTTCCTTCTAAAGTCAATTAGGTACACTCATTTGCCAACCAAGAGAACATTAAATCAAGAAATATACCATTTTGGTCATGATGCCTATGATACTGGAACTTAGCACAATTATAAAGAAACATTGAGGGCACAGTAACTAGCATACATCTTAAACTGCAGCCTTCTTAAGATTCTAAAACAAATTTATCATCTTTAACTTTTTGCATTATACACCATGTTCTCACTGAAATCAAGTCTTTTTGCTTTGAATATAAATGAGCCAAGTTTCCTATGATTGATTTAAAGCAATGCACTATTTGAACATGGGAAGAAAGACAAATTTAACTCTGCAGATTCAATATATAGTAAAGCGAGAGACAATAATACCTTTTTAAGGAAACCGGCACCAAAAGCTCGAGTTACTTTCAAGGAACCCTTCACGCGGTCATTAATCACAGCACAAGCATCATCCTGGTGTTCAAGTTTTATTCTTTGAACTTCCTACAAGGCAACAAAATATAAAGTTTAATACACCAAAAGAAGCATATGGCAGCATCATCTGTTCTATAATCTGAAAATATGCGCTCACAAAGTCATTTCTTCAGCTGTAAAACACAAGGGAATAATAATATACCTCCTCCACACTGGTGCTGTGATCCACAGTAAGCTGAAAAGCATTTAAACTGGGAACTGAACCAGGTTTCTCACCATCACTAGCTTCAAGGTCATGTGATGTTTCTTCATTGATTCTCTCCAAATCCTGTCTAATCTTCCCAAGCCAGTAATCAGGTTCTGCCTTCTGTGCCAACACAGCTCTACTATCACCAACATTCATCACATACATATCCTCCCCCTTCATCAGCATCACCAGCACACAAGAACCCATCATTGCCAACTCAGGATTTTCCATGAGCATCATATCTGCAATATCTAAATAGGCCTCCTCCGTTTTCCTCAATGCCTGAGCCAAAGCATTCAAGACATTTCCATGATTGATAGCTTTGGACCCATCAGAACCGTTTTGATTCAACTGTTCCTTTAGTCTCCGATCAAGCTCTTGTCTCTCCCGGTCCCATTCACACCTCCATTTCCTTTGCGTCTTTTCCCATTTCTTTGACGCTCCTCTGTACTTACTTTTCGTTTTCTTGCTCGTTTTTCGCTTCAAATTGAAATCGAAATTTACATCCTCATTAGGACACGAATAGTTCTTTTGCTCAACGCAATGTGAACAATCATCAACAATTTGATTCCGGGAAAAATCATTCACTCCGTTTCCAATCTCTGTAATGGAGGAAACAGGGGAGGTGGCAGGGCCGCTTACTGTACTGGGTTCATTCTTGTTATCATCCCATAGCAGACCCTTGAGCTCCTTATGAACCGCGGGGTACAGATTTGATAAAAGGAAATCAGGCGCATCAGGGCCGTTAAATCCATCATAAATCCCAACGAAAACCCAGCCGTGTTCCTCCGAAACGACGACGTGTACCCGATCCTCCCCGGCTTTGCCTTGAGCCCACTGAAGATTTTGGCTCTCCAACGAATCATCATCTTCTAAACTACCATCGCTACTCAAATTCAAGCTACTTACAGTCAGATTCTCGTTGTGGTGGTGGTGCTGCTGCTGCGGCTTCTCCGCGCCAACAATCCATTCGGGTTCTTTAAAGGAAATCACCCCTTTAATCGGAGCAACAATCGAATTCTGGCCCCGGGATATCGTCTTCGATATCGCTTTCTGCAGAGCCCGAACTATGGACTCTTTTCTTGATCTGGGTTTGAACGCGAAACCTCCATGGGAGAAGCTCCTCGGAAACTGTTCAGAGTAGCCCTTATCAAGTGGACCTGAAAACAACCCTCGATCAAGCGGACCGGACATAAATCCTCTCTCAATCGGACCCGACATAAACCCTCTCTCGAGGGGACCCGAACCGGGGAGTATCGGACCCGAGTTTATCAGATTCCGCGGAATTGGCTGCAGAGGAATCGAAGAGAACGAAGTGGAGCTCTCAAACGCCGCGGCTCGATCAAAGTGACCATACGAGTACGAGTCCATAAGCGATGTGGAGAGAGGGGTCGAAGTGTTGGCACTCACCGAGGCGCCGGAAATTGTACGGAAAGTGGTGGTTTCTTCCTCTGAATGGACCTTCGAGGACGAAAGCCGGGTCGGGTCGGGGCGCACGTACCAGAAAGAGTGACCCAACCCTTCGTCCAAAGGGTCCGTTATCAGGACAGATAAATCTTGCCGCCGTCGAGCTTCTCCCCCGCCGGTGAAGCACACGGTGAGCTTTCCGATACCGTTACCCATAAGGGAAACGAAATACCACCTGACAAAAATAAGAAATAGAAGCACAAAAACAACCAAAGAAATCGTCTTGTGTTGAAATCACTGCAAATGATATTTCATTTTGGAATTCTGAAGGAGCTACAGAGAGAGAGAGAGAGAGAGAGAGAGAGAGAGAGATAGACAAAGTAGGAGAAGGAAGACGAGAAGAAGATGTGAAGAAGAGAGAGAGAGAGAGAGAGAGAGAGAGAGAAGGAGCGTTGACTTTTGAGCCAGGATTTTTTTTAATATGAAGAAGAAAAAAACAGTTTTTATTCGAATTTTACTTTTTTTAAATTTATTTTTTTAAAAAGGCAATGAAAATATTTTTTATTTCCTTGTTGTAGGGCGTTGACTAAGAGTAGGGGTTTTAAGTAAACTCGTGGTTGGTTTTGAGGAGAGTTTTGATTATGAAAGCGGTTAGTTACTTGAAAATATTTCTGGAATCTCGCTGGTGAGCTTGAAGATCACGCGCTCTTCGAAGAGGACAAGATCTGTGTGGGGCCCAATCATGGGGGCAGCAATTTGTAATTTTTCAAGAAAGAATCTTTTTCCTAATCCAAATTACCATTGCGCGGAATTGGGCCTAGAGAGAGTGCGGAATACGCGCTGCCATAGAGCGTTGAAATAAATTTGGCGATGAACAAAATAGGGTCATTCGTAAAACTGATATAAGTGGTCATAAATTCTGGTAACAATCGAAAAGTCAAGTGGGAAAATTTAAAAAAACGGACACTTGCATGGGGAAACGTGTCAGGATCACCGTTGGATCGGGCGAAATAAATTGATCAAAAAAAGGTTTGACTACCACGTGTCACTAGTTTTTGAAGTTTCATATTATCATTTGTCAACTCGAGGTTTCCCCAGCCAGCACTCTCTCTTCTCCGCAGCTTACCTTGACTTTCTCTCTCTCTCATTTATTTTCTTTATACTGACTTTTTTCTGTCTGTCTCAATTTACTAATTTTTAAATATTTATTAGTACAGAAATTAAATGATTTGTGTACTTCCCAATTTGTTCATTTTATTAAGGTGGGTAGTTTTACAATTACTATTGCCTAATTATTTATATATAATTACTCTAATTAAATTTTGATTGGTTAATTACATTTCAAATCTTATACTGATCCAACAAACTAAAATTTTGAACGTCAATTCAACACCTACAGTAGCAAGAATTAAATGTTACTTAAATTCCAAGTTCGAAAAATATGTTAATCGTGTCAAAAATAATTTATATTATTCTGAAGTAATAAGAACAAATATTCTTAATTATCAAATATATAAATACAATGAATACTAAAAAATCATACGTGTCAATTTTTTATTTTTTAAATATTTTACATTTAATATAATAATATGTATAAATTAGTTATTTATTTTTATAAAATAATAATATAAATATTTTAAAATAAATTTAATGTAATAATATAGGTGATGGTTATCTATTTAAATTACATAAATATAAAAATAAAACTTGAGTATGATTAAATTTTTATCTAATTTATTTTTAGTTTGTTACAAATTCTATATAAGTTTTTCATCACACAATTTTTTTTTTTTTGTATCTTATTTATTTTGCATATCTTTAGTCAACAAATTATGTATGCTAAATTCTTTTATATTTTTATTAATTTTTTCTTATTTTCATAAAATTTTATCAACATAAAATAATATTTATATTATAACTTATATAATTACAAAAAATTATATTTTTTGCATGGTATAAAATAATAATCTAATTATTATATGTACAAATATTGTAATGTAAGACTCCCTCAACAATAATTCAATACGTCACTTCTCGACTCCATAATTTTAGACTCATAAATTAGTTTTTTATTCATATAGTCATCCTTAAAAGGTATATATTTGTAGTATGTACTTGTAATATACATATATATATATATATATCTTTTTTTTTTTTTGCTTATAGATTTATGGTAATATTCGGGTCTGAAAATTAATATGAAATGATATTTTTATTTTCAAAAATATATTTTAATAAGTAATTTTATTTATTTTAATTTTATTTTATTAAATGTTTTTATAAAAATTGATTAGGAATTAAATTGAAAATAATTTTTGAAAAAATAAGTGAAATTTTGAGTTTGTAAAGTATTTTTGAAAAAATAAATGGAAATAAGGGGGTTAAAATGCAAAATGGAGAAATTCAGCAACGTTGGATGACTCAGTTAGCAGCCACGACGAAGTAGAGCACGCCACGTGGCAAAA